TAAGACTAAGTAATAATAATAAAATAAATAATAAAATAATAACAATAATAATTATACAATATCGGAATAATAATCTACTAAAATAATAAACGGTTCTATAACAATAGCTTAATGATAAATATTGATATTAATAATAATTAATAAAATCAACAAATATCTTCCAACAGATTACATAAATAATAATATTTGTATATGAAAATGAAAAACTAATTTATCACAAACTATCGGCTTAAATTAAATTTCAAAAATAAATTTTTTTTTTTTTTAATATTAAGGTGACCACTCACAGGTCTGACACAGTTTATTAAACTTTTGGTTTGATACCGGCATAGTTACATGGACAGTGCCTGATCTTGTTACATTAACGAGAGTACTTTCTAGCCATATTTGTGCCTTTTGAGCACCTATTTAAGTAGTTTGCCTATCCTAGATCTACACTAGATGCTGTACCTATAACCCAACTATGAGATTACCCATTTAAACTGTCTGATCAACTTCATGCCATCGGATATCTTCTCTAAAGAAGAACCTACCACTAAGGCCTGCTAAGTCTTTAAAGTGGACATACACTTCCATATAGAGGGGTCCTTTGACCTTGTGATAAACCTACTAGAGTGGTCCATGTTCCACACATATATCACTTAGGTTTTTAGTAACTTACGCCTAGGCCAAGGCCAAGTACTTGTGAGCTGAAGCCACTACTATTACCTACTCTGTACTCTTGCAAAGTTCACTCAAACCCCAATACACCCATACTTCGGTTTTCCAGACTAAGCCCTACTTCTGGTTTCCCAAACTAAGCTCTACTTCTGGTTTACCAAACTTCTAATTCAGATAGTCTGGAAGGGCTGTGATCTGCTCCTGATACCCACGATTGAATCCTTTTTCCTTCAGTTACTCAGCTAGTAGCCTGGTTGGTGGAGTGCCTTGCTAAACACTTCGGTCCTATCTGGTTCCTCCTTTTGCTGCCATTCGGTTTCACCTTTTCTGCTATCTGGTTCTTCCTTTTCAGATTATTAGATAATACTGTCAAAGATCTGTACTACTTCTCTGTTCAGGTCTTCCCAAGTAGGCTCCTATATTCCATCAATTCGATGAATTTATTCGGCAGCTTCATTGCTGTACAACTCATACATTACACTTATTGTTCCACTGCCTCCCAGTACAAGCTGGTGTAATCCTGTTACAGGTTCTATAACCCAATAAGATACAGTCGTCCAAATACATTTTTCGTAAATTTGAATTTTGTCACTAGTGAGATTCGAACTCTGGTCCTGCTGCTTGGAGTGTGACAACTTCACCACTTCACTAAGTTACCACACCCTCAAAAATAAATTTATAGAATCAGTATAATATCTTAGTTAAATAAATTAAATCATAATATATCAGTATATATCATTGTCTATTTGTCTAAATTTTAGATAAGCAACAATAATTAATAAAATCAACAAAATATCTTCAAAGAAATTAAATATAGTATAAAAAATCTGACTATAAAAATAGAGAACTAAACTAATTAACAAAATATTGGCTTAAATTAAACTTAAAAAAAAATTTATACTGATATAATAATAATTAAATAAAGTTAATGAAGATGTATTAAATTATAGTATATTAGGTAAAATTTTAGATAAGCAATAATAATTAATAAAATCAACAAAATATTTTCAAAGAAATTAAATATGATATAAAAAATCTAATTATAAAAATAAAAATCTAAACTAATCAACAAAATATCAGCTTAAATTAAGCTTAAAAAAAATTTATTCTAATATAATAATGATTAAATAAGTTAACAAAGATATTAATCAGATTTATAAAATCATAGTATATTAGCCAAAATTTTAGATAAGCAACAATAATTAATAAAATCAACAAAATATCTTCAAAGAAATTAAATATGGTATAAAAAATCTGACTATGAAAATAAAAAACTAAACTCATTAACAAAATATTGGCTTAAATTAAGCTTTAAAAAATTTATATCAATATAATAATGATTAAATAAAGTTAACAAAGATATTAATCAAATTCATTAAATTATAGTATATCAGCCAAAATTTTAAATAAGCAAAAAATTATTAATAAAATCAACAAAATATCTTCAAAAAAATTATATTGAAATAAAAAATCTGATCATAAAAATAGAAAACTAAACTAATCATAAAATATCAGCTTAAATTAAGTTTTAAAAAAAATTTATACTGATATAATAATAATTAAATAACGGTTTTACTAAATCACACCACTGGTGTTCAACACCAATATCAGAAAGTAGATCAGAAATCATGTGATTATATAAATAAAGTTATCAGAGCAACTACGAGTTTTGGGTCACATGATAATTAGCCAATGGGAAATCAAATTAAGTATAATGTAATACAATTAAACATTATTTTTTACCAACAACTTTATTGGCAATAGTGAGAAAGATAGCGAATTTAGTCAATATTATATATATAAGCATATAAAATGTGCCTGTAGCTTTAATTAAAGATTAAAAGTAATAAAAAAAAAGGTAGTTAGTAGAATGCTAAATAAGAATACTTTAGAAAAGCTTCAAAGTAAATTGTTATATGAGCATGTGATTCACATAGAAATTCGTTATCAAATACTGGTAATAAATTAGTGACGCAGTATATATTAAACAATTTAAGAGAAATTGATATTTACAAGGGCAAATAAAAAATTAATAAGTGCTTTTTTTTTTTAAAAGCCAAATCCATTAAAGTAACAATACCTATCCTAATGATGACTATAATATCGCTCTTGTTCATTTTGGTACTCATCGTTTAAGCTGAGACATTTAATGACAAGTGCTATTAATTAACACACGCACTAGAATAACTTTGTAATAGATTTTTTTTGCTTGGTAACTTTACTTTAAAAATAATTTAAGATGTATAAGTTATATAGGCAATTGATTCACCAATCTAATAACTTTGACATACTTATGAAATTCAAATTGTTTATAGCTAACTTGCATATGAATATTAACCTAATGAATATGATTAGGAAAGTTCAAACACCTGTTTTTAAAACAGCTCTTGCTTTTCAAAAATATGCATAAGAAGTACTTCTTATAATCTAAAATAACTAACTTCGAAAAATTAGCCTTCAATTTTGATACCAAATTATTCTTTGTGCTCTAATAAAAAAAATTTTTTTTATATAATTATATTACATTTTATTTTCAAACCTATAACATAATTCTCACAATAAATTCAAAGGAAATGTTTGTAATTCACATGAGTTAAGCATTCAATTATATGTTTTTTGACATGAAATGCTTGATATAAACTCTCGTTACATATAAAATATTACTTATTTATTTAAACAAGTTCGTGCATTGTGACCCTTTATATTACAAATTCTACATTTATACTTAATGTTGATTTCTTCTAAATTATTTTCTTCTGAATTGTCTTCTAAATCATTTTTTTCTGAATTGTCTTCTGAATTATAGGATTCAGCTAAACTTAGACAAGTATATATGTTATGACCTTTTGAGTTACAAATTCCACATTTTCTTACTTCTTTTCTTTTTTTTATGTTACTAGTTTCTACATTATACAAAAATTATTAAATTCTAATACATTATACAATTCAAATAACAACCTAAAGAAACATATCTAAATTATGATCGCTATCAGTATTATCGTCATTATCTGATTTATCATATTTACTTTGAGGCATTTACTTCTTTTTATTTTTACCTTTTGATATATTCGTACTATCATTGAATCCTTTAATTCTTTTGGAATTTCGCCCTTTTGTTTTAATACTTATAGGATTATTTATAGTACAGGCAAATTCCTCAGAGTCATTATACTCAATTTGATCATTCTCCTTTATAAGTTTAAGCTCCATTTCTTTGGTAAGATTCTCATAAATTTTGTAGAGCTCTTCAATTCTATTTGTCATAATTGCCAAGTTAAGCATTTTCTTCATCATACCAAATCTCCTTCCCTATTGAGATCTATGTATCATTTTATTACGAACTGATTTACTAAAAACATGCTTTTTATGAATCTGTTTCAAATGAGAAAAATCAACTTCTGAATTATATTTAGATGCATCTGACTGGTCATTTAAGCCTGCTACGATTGCTGGTTCGAGTAATACTAAGACATCTTCAACTAACACATCTAGGTACTATCGTTGTGGTATAAGCCCAATATAAAATTTTGCGACTTTTGAAAAGAACATTGCCGCAAAGAAATGGTGACATACAAGGCCATGGTTTATTAATATTAAATATGTACAAAGATGCAAATTATTATCATAAAACACAACAAAATGTTTGCTTTTTTGATCGATTGAGGAAATATACCAACGTTCAAAAATCTTTGTTTGATCAATACCGTCAATTAGTTGTTTTAGTTCAATAATAATACATCAAACATATCTTCAGAAAAAATTCCTATTAGCAACTCAGTTATAACCTATAATATTAATGTACTATATTAGTATTTTTGATTGTTTTATTTCAATTTCCTGATAATCATTACTAACAAAATGCCAAAAAAAAAAATTTGCCAAATTATCATCTTGAATAATATGAAATTGATGGAAATAACTATCAGGAAGTTGAATGACATCCTTAGTAATTATATAATTATAATAATTTCTCACCTGTTGTTCAAGTTCATCCTCAAGATTAACTATACAACATTGGTAATGTATACTATGATTAATTTCATTTCGTTGAAGCTTTAAAACCGCTAACGTTAGAAAATGCTGGCATGACTTGTCAATTGCACTAAAATATTTATTGTAATATTGTTTCTTTCTATTAATTAGAAGTTGATCAATAGTTTCATTAAGACGTACAAACCAACTTTCCTTCTTTAACAATTTGTTAATACATTGTTCAAACTCTAAAACGAATAATAATCTATTTATATAGTTCTTGATTTTAGTATTATAAGATTCCACATGCTGTGTACTTTGCACATCAGCATTAAATGCACGGTGTGTAAAGCATAGTATCTAAGCTTCTCTGCAATAATAAAGCTGATACTGCAAATAATTTGCAGCATCGCATATTTTTGTAAAAATATAGCTCATCTTTCCTCAAAAATTGGCTTCATACGACTATTAAATACATAGCAAAAATCTGTAAAAAATTTATCTCATTTTTCACGATATTTATCAAGGAAATGCTTTTCTAAATTTTTTTAAATATGGAATAAACAGAAATGGTGTTTTGTCATTGGTAAAGAATTGTTAGCTGCTGCAATTATTGCAGGGTCAGCATCTGTATAGAGTAAGCATGAAGCCAGATTACCAGTTGCTTTAAGAATACTTGTGAATAACCATTCATAAGTTTCTTTGATTTCATCAGAAATAATAGCAGCAGCTGTAAGATAGGAACGGTTATGATTATCCAAAATTATCATAATACACAATATCATTGAGTGGCAGTTGGTTTTTGCAGTTGAATCTAGAAGAACAACATCATAAATCAAGCCTACAGCTGCTGTTGACCTGGGCTCATCCAACAAAGTCTTGTAAGATGATTGTCCTTGCCTTCGAATTGAGCATCAACATGAAAAGTGGAATCCATCTGCTGTTTTTTCACAAGCTCGAGGTATAATGAACCAGCATCACTTATTTCTCCTTTTTTGCACCAGATTGATTGAATCAAATTATACACATTATGATCATAAACATATTTATCTGAGAACTTCTTTTATAAAATTTCAATTATCACTCCAGCATGTACTCCACAACTTGCAAGAAATTTTACTTCATCACTTATCTCTAGAGTAAGCTTTCTATAATATGACGCCACCATATTTATATTATCTACAAGATCATGATTATGCTAATCTTCAATTTTTGTTATATAGATTAAATTATTTTTTTTGCGTTTATATACATTAATATGAAATTTGCAGCCATTAGTTTGGTGGCCACTATCATAATCCTCAAAAACATGCACTTCTCTTTGAAATACATATGGTCGACTCTTTGTATATTTATAAGTACAGCGCTGAGGGATCTTATCTTCCTTGTTCTTTTCACTATGAGTAATCGTAAATGCAAATTCATTTTCTAATCCATGACTATCAAACCATTTCCAAGCTCATCCCAATCTCTAAAACTCATATTTGCTTCAATAAAATACTGTGGTTCTGAATTTTTCCTATTATCTTGATTTTCATGAGCTTCTGAAGACGAACTTGAGAAATTTTCTGTATGTTTCATAACTTCATTGTCTCCCTTTTTATTAACTTGTTCAAAAAAAGTCTTCAGGTTATTTGAATCAAACATATTAAGAAAATCCTCTATGTTATCAGGCCCAAACGTGTTAAAAAAAGTTTCCAGGTTGCTAGAACTACATAAAATTTCTGAATTACCAGAGTCGTATGCACTAAAACAATTATCCATAGTACCAGATTCAGCATTAAGAAAATTTCCCATATTGTCAGATTCGTAAATATTTTTTGTATTACCAGCTTCAAACATAGATATCAAACGATTAACTATTAAAGAAAACCAAAATTAAGTTACAATCTACTTTTAAAACTCCAAAGTTAAATACAAAAAATATATATATATACCTGTATTACCAGATTCGGGATTGAAAAAATTCTCTGTATTGCTAGAGCTGTAAATATTTTCTATGTTACCAGGTTCAAATATGACAACGAATAGGGTATAACTGCAAAGAGAAAAGAAAATCAAATTGTGAGTTAGTAAAAAAAAAATTTGTTATTTAAAAAAAACTTTTACTAACACCACTGGTGTTCAATACCAGTGGTGATATAATAAATAATAAATTAATTTAATAGCATCGATTCATACTATATTAAAACAAAAATAAACTTTTACTAACACCACTAGTGTTCAATACCAGTGGTGATTTAATAAATAATAAATTAATTTATGATAATTGTATCAATTTATACTATAATTTTTTAAAAAAATAAACTTTTATTAACACCACTGGTGTTCAATACTAGTGGTAATTTAATAAATAATAAATTAATTTTCTATAGCATCCGATCTACTTTCTGACACTAGTGTTAAACATCAGTGGTATGATTTAGTAAACTCGTTAAATAAAGTCAACGAAAATAAAAATCAGATTCATCAAATTATAGTATGATATATCAGCCAAAATTTTAGATAAGCACCAATAATTAATAAATTAACAATATATCTTTAAAGAAATTATATTTGAAATAAAAATCTAACTATAAAATAGAAAACTAAACTAATCATAAAATATCAGCTTAAATTAAGCTTAAAAAATTTATATTGATATAATAATAATTAAATAAAGTTAATGAAGATATTAATCAAATATATCAAATTATAGTATATTAGCCAAAATTTTAGATAAACAACAATAATTAATAAAATTAACAAAATATCTTCAAAAAATTATATAGTATAAAAAATCTGATTATGAAAATAGAAAACTAAACTAATCAACAAAATATTAGCTTAAATTAAGCTTAAAAAAAATTTATACTAATATAATAATGATTAAATAAAGGTAACAAAAATATTAATCAGATTTATCAAATTATAGTATATCAGCCAAAATTTTAGATAAGCAACAATATTAACAAAATATTTTCAAAGAAATTATATATGATATAAAAAATTTGACTATGAAAATAAAAAACTAAACTAATTAACAAAATATCAGCTTAAGTTAAGTTTAAAAAAATAAATGTATAGAATCAAAGTAATATCTTCATTAAATATATTAAATCATAATTATATTTGTATTTATCATTACATATCGACCTATATTTTAGATTAAAAACAATAACTGATAAAATTGTATGATTATCTTTAAAATATATATAAAATCATAATTATATCATAATAAATAAAAAGTTTATTAGCATAATTTGATTTACAACTAAAAATTAATTACTTGGTATATTATCTTCTAATAATGTATATAATTATTAGCATATCGGTTTATATCATAGTTATATATTTATTAATTATATTAAGCATTATTATATCAGCTTTATTTTTGGTTTATTTTTTTATATTTAATTTATTATCATGAAATCTTTCTATAATAAAAAGCTGATATTTATATGATTTAATTAGCTATTAAACAATCTTTTAGCCGATTGTATAATGTTTGTTTTTTACATATCACCTATTAATCACCTTATTATATTATAAAATTTCGAGTTGTGTTGCTAGATGCTCTTACTATATCCAGTTCTTTGACCTCGGGTGAAGTCTATTCTAGTAGCCACCATCAAAAATCTGTGCTACATCTCTATTTAGGTTTTGCCAAGTGGGCATCCATCTTTTCAGTTTCCTGGGTTTATACAAATACAAGGTCTTATCTTAAGTTTGCACCAACTAATACTGGCTTGCATGCCTTTGTATAACTTATATATTGCATAAATGTACTATAATCTCCAAATCTTGTTAGTGATACCAAAGTTATAAAGATCCTGTTTCAACCAATCATTAAAAGATAGTAGCCATTGTACAAGCAGAATATTTGAAATTTTGCTATTGATAGATTTAAACCTCCACCTGCCAACATATCACTTGGGAGTGCGATAACTTAACTAATTTACTAAGTTGCTACACCCTTTGTATAAAAATTATCATGTAACTAAGAAGAAAAATGTTTATAATAAAAAAAATTATAACTATAAAATCTTTCAATTCTTTCTTAGATATTTTATACTGATGTAATAGTATACTTTCAAATATATGATACTCAACAAATATTTAATGAGAAACTTACTCTTTATAAATAAATTCTATTTTATTATCTTCTATAAAATAATTAACTTTTTTAAAACCAATCAGTTTTAATACCTTAATACTGTAATATTTCATTTAAAGATATTACTTAGCATTGTTATAGAATACTTTATTAAAATAGAAATAACTTTATTTTCAGTAGTTATTTTAATTGTAAAAAAACACACTTTTAGAGAAAAAAATAAATATTTTGCATATTGTTATATTAGTAGATTTTATTAATATATTTTAGAAGATTTTATTAATATATTTTATTAGTATAATTTATATTTATGATATATTTATTTTTAGCTTTAGTTTAATAGTAAAATTTTTGATAAATAGTATTAATTTTAGTATAATATTAGATACATTAACTGGTATGTTAACAGATATAATAACAGATACATTAACTGGTATGTTAACTAGTATATTAACTGAGTTGTTAAATAGGTTGTTAACTGTGTTGTTAAAAGGGTTATTAACTGGGTTGTTAAAAGGATTATTAACTGGGTCATTAACTAGGTCATTAACTGGGTCATTTACGAATACAGTCAAACCTCCATAAATGCAACGTGTACAGATCAGCCTAAAACGTGCATTTAGGGAGGTTTGCATTTAAAGGGAGCTAATTAAATTGCAGCTTTTGATATTTGATCTGCAAGTTTGTATAACAAACTTAAATACTAACTTCTGATTGGCTACGTACACTTAGGGTGGTTAGTATGATATAAAAAATCTTTTGAGTAAACATGTATTTGCAGAATATAGAACGTGCATTTAGCATTAATGATTTCATACAGCCAAAACAAAAATGTGTATTTAGGGAGGTATTATATTTATGGAGGTTGCATTTAGAGAGGTCCGACTGTAGTCCAAAAGATATAAAACCCTGCCTTTTTCTTCAAGGCAGAGCAGACTGTCTCCTCTTTACTTTTTATTTTTTGTTATTTATAGTTTATTTTCTTAAAAGTGTAGCTATTGTCTACCTTCTTTCTATTGTATTTAATAAAGTTTTTATTGTGTTTTTATTGTATATTTAAGTTAAGCTATCGCCTCTTCTTTTTTTTTTGAGTATTTATTTTTGGTATATTGAGTTGAGCTATTGCTTTTTCTTAAGTATTTTATTGTATTTTAGAATTAAAGCTATTACCTCTTTTCCTTATTGTTGGTTTATTGTTTTACTTTAAAGTCTCTTTTAGTCTTCTTTCTTATTTTATTCTTTTCTTGTTTGCAAACACATTCCTTAACTCTCTTACATATTAAGTCAAGTAGTATAGCTTTACTAAAACCCTGTATTGCTATATTACAGTTTTAATAATGATGACAAGATCTAAAACTTTTTGTATCTGTTGTAATTTCTAATTAATAATTTCTTTAAACTTTCTTTCTTTCTTATTTACCTTCTATATAAACAACATTTCTTATTTTTCTCTTATAATTTATTATTATTTTTTTTTAGAATAAATATTTTCTTTCTTGCTATAAATAATATAAAGTATTCTTCTCTTTATATTATTTGAAGTTTAAAGCTATATATAATTGAAAATAGTCTAATTATTAGTACTTCTTCCTCTGCTTATATCTTAGGATATTTGTAAGTTTTAATTTGCTAATAAATCTTTGAAAAGGGCAAACTACTTTGTTAGTTAAACCTGGTCAGCACGTAAAGAAACAATAAGATTTAAACTCCCTTCTAGACCTATTATATTGCAAAAGGGCTTTAGAAGACTATTAAATTAAACTCTGTTAATCACATATTTTAAATTTTCTTTTCTTTCTCTTTTTCTTTTATTTTTCTCTTTATAAATATCTTTTATATTTTAAATTTTTATTAATTAGTTTTATATTAAAATTCTTTTTTTTTAGTTTATTTATATTTTATTAAATATAAATTCTTAAATTTATTTTTTTTATAAACTTATGCAATCTTTCTCTTAACACTATTTTAACTTTATCTAGAAATATCTTAATTGCATTTCTACTGTAATGTAACAAGTTAAACCTTTGGTTAACAAGTTACCTTACTTGACTAAGTGTACAAGTAGTTAAGAAATGTGTTTATATAATTTATAGGAAAAACAGTTTATAAATAAAATAAAATATTGTTGACTTATTGCTATAGCAACACTTACAAAGAAAAAGTTATAACCAACAAAGTTTATAAACAAAAGATAGATTTATTAACTCAGATAATACTCAAAAGAATAACACAAATAAAACAAATAAATATATAACTCAAGAAAAATATAATAATTCCAAATAAATATCACAGAAAAGAGACTTATTCCCAACAAAAATAATATAAAAATACCAAAAATAGGACTTATTCCTAATACTAAGTTATAACAAAAATAAAAATGGGACCTATTCCCAAGACCAAAGTATATAATAACAAGATAATAATGACCAAAATATGGAGATTAACTGTCCTCTTGCTTTGAAAAAAGAGGCAGGGTTTATATATCTTTTTCCAGTATATTAATTTACTATAAAACATAGTAATTAATTAAAGAAGTGTACTTTTTATTAATGAAAAGTCACTTTCTACTATAGCATAGGCACTTTTAGATAGTGGATAGGCACTTCCAGATAGTAGATGGGCACCTTAGAATGATTAAAATTAGAGATTGAGCACCTTTTACTATATCAAGGACACCTTTTAATATAGAATAAGCACTTTTTAATATAGGATTGGCACCTTTCAATATAGGATGGGCATCTTTTGA